CATACATACATACATACATACATACATATATTTGTGCTGATAAATAAAGGGAGACTAACACAGCACAGGTTCGAATCCCAATAAGTGTATGGCTAGCTGATGAGAGCTAAATAGCTTGAAATAGATCTATACTAGTCTCCCTTTATTTATTTACCAGCACAAATATAACACAAAATGTGTAACAAAGGCAACAGTGAAAATATTGGGTTTCTGCCTGGATGGTCTCTTGTGACGAGCCGAATGAGAATGGAAGTAGTGATCTTCCTCCCATATTTGAAATCTTATATATATATATATATATAAGAACAGATATATATTCTGTTCTGATCTATTCTATTCTTAATTCTGTTCTGTTCTATATTTATTCTGTTCCGTTCCATTCCACTCTCCACTCCACTCTACTCTTCTCTACTCTATTCTATATTTATTCTATTCTATTCTTAATTCTATTCTATATTTATTCTATTCTATTCTTAATTCTATTCTATATTTATTCCATTTCATTCCTTTCTATTTCTATTCTATTCTATTCTTATTTCTATTGATTTCTGACTCTGTACACCATGGTTCAGTTAGCCATGAGTTAGAGCATTAGCTATGTAGCCAAAACAGATGCGATAAAACAAGAGATCATTTTAATAATACAATACTATAGCAGAGTTGGAAGGGACCTTGGAGCTAGTCCAACTCCCTGCCTGTGCAGGAAACCCTATACCGTTTCATTTTGATAGTCTTAGTTCTCTTTCCTTCATTATTACTAAATCAAATTCATTCTGTCTTGTATCTGGGGCAAACTTGTCATTTCTGTACATCTTTCCATGGAGATTCTCAGTCATCCAGGCCATGTTTGTCCCAAAGGAGCTTTTTCAAGTGGCAACTGGATGTTCTTGTTTTTCTTTGAAGACGTTTCGCTTCTCATCCAAGAAGTTCATGGATGAGAAGTGAAATGTCTTCAGGGAAAAACAAGAAAGTTCAGTTGCCACTTGAAAAAGCACTTTTGGGACATCCATTACTGGAGGTTAAGAGTCGTCTAGATCGTCACTTATCTGAAATGGTATAGGTTATCCTGCTTCTGCAGAGGGCTGGACTAGAAGACCTCCAAGGTCCCTTCTATTCCATTCCATTCCATATTCCATTCCATTCTATATTTGATAGATATTTAATTCTATATTCTATAGATATTTAATCGAGAATACATTTCAAATAAATATTTTCTCATAAAAATGGTTCCCCGCTTTATTTCTTTCTAGCTTTATGTCTGGTGCTCCTTCCACTGAAACTGGAACACTCCTTTAGATAAGCCACACTTTAAAGGAGTGTAGTTTATCTAAAAGTTGCAATGTGTTGCCTTATCTATTAGTATTATTGACCTTTACTTTCATTTTATCTTATCTTGGTTTTCTTGTTTTATTTCCATACTTGATGTTCTTAAAAGCTGGACAATGTCCACAATAAGGTTTGAGCCAGCTAGAGAACAAGAGGGTGGATGAATGTTGCAAATTGTTTCTTTTATAGTTGAAAATTAAAGATGTTTTCAGCAAGAGTCAAGTACTCTGGACAGGCAGGGGTGCTTTCCCCAAATTGGGATGTGATGCAGTGACCCAGATATGCAGGCCAGAGGGCAGCCCAGTCACTTCCCACAGAGACAGCAGCTTCTTTTAACAGAAAGCAAAGGACTAATTGACTGAAACAAAAAACAGAACAGAATAGCAAGAGTTGGAAGGGACCTTGGAGGTCTTCTAGTCCAACCCCCTGCTCAAGCGTTAGAGACCCAATACCATTCCAGACAAATGGCTGCACAGTCTCTTTAAAAAAAAAAAACCTCCAGTGATGGAGCACCCACAACCTCTGAAGGTAAGCTGTTCCACTGGCGGATTGTTTTCACTGTCAGGAAATTCCTCCTTAGTTCTTAGTTGCTTCTCTCCTGGATTAATTCCCATCCATTGCTTATTGTCTAGCTCTTCTGTTGCTTTGGAGGATAATTTGACCCTCTCTTCTTTGTGGCAGCTCCTCAAATATTGGAACACTGCTATTGTGTCACCCCTAGTCCTTCTTTTCACTAGACTAGGCCCAATTTCTGCAACTCTCCTCCATATGTTTTATCCTCCAATTCCCTAATCATCTTTATTGCTCTTCTCGGCACTTTTTCTAGAATCTCACCAACTTTTTTATATTGTGGGGACCAAAATTGGATGCAGTATTCCAAGTGTGGTCTTACCAAGATCTTATAAAGTGGTACTAATACTTCACATGATCTTGATTTTGTCCTTCTGCTAATACAGCCTAGGACTGTGTTGGCTTTTCTGGTAGCTATAGCACACTTTTGACTCATATTTAAGTGATTGTTCACTTGGATTCCAAGATCCCTTCTGCAGTGAGCTGCTATTAAGCCAAGTTTCACCAAATATGTACCTGTACATTTGTTTTTTCTTACCTACGTGATTGGTCGCATCAAAGGAGCTAATGATCAAAGTCAACCTAGGTGTTGTCGCCTGTCCACCACTGGCCCCTCCAGCAGCTGAATCAGAGGAGGAGGAATGGAAATCAGGGCCAGCATCAAGGCAATCTAAGAACTCCGAGGGGGAAGAGGGAATGGAGCTGTCAGAGAGAAAGAGGGAGAGGGAGAGAGGGAGGGTGAGAGGGAGCCCTCAGATGGAGAGTCAACAGCCCCCAGGTCTGGATGTGGCTGATGAGGAAGAAGAATAGCTAGGTCCACTGCCTGATGTGCCGAAGGCAGGGGAGAGGAGAGGAGAGCAGTGGAAATCTATGGGCCGGTCCTTGAGACAGAAGAGCCACCACTGCTAGTGAAGCCCCACCCTAGCTCTGGGGATCAAAGGCAGGAGGTAGAGATGAATAGATGTAGCAGAGAACTATCCGTTTCCCTGCCGGACAAACTTGTTAGCCTGCAGTGAGAGAGAAACTTTTTTGCCGGGGCTGCTGGTTCTTCCAATAAAGGAATCCTTGATTTAAATGCAGAGGGTCTGTTGTGTTTGTGGTGCTGGGTCAGAGCTCTAGGACTTGGGAGGGTCTACACCTCATCTTTTGCTCAGCCAAAAAGTCCTCTGGATGACTTTGGGCCAATCACTCCTAGCCTAACCCAAGATGCGGTCTGTGAAGATAAGGCTTGAAGAAGAGTGAAATAAAACTGCAATCTTGAGGGATAATTTTTTCTTGGTTTTGGAACTCTGCTTTGCTTGGATTTGAATGCCAGCCCTCTGAATTAAGATTCATAATAGAGGAGAACTTTCTCCTAATAGCACAGCAGAATTGAAAAAAATATAATAAGTTCTCCACCTGAATGATTTTATCATTCAGTTGGTCATTCCAGTTAGCGTTGCTGTGGGGAAGAGGCTGCCTCCTTGTGGCCCAATTTGAAAATTAATTAACTAATGAATAAATATTCATTTCCTCTTTGCATTTCAGCCCCCGGGTTGCCCGGAATACAGCATGCTTTCCTTTATGGGTGCATTTCACGGGAGAACCATGGGTAAGAAAGAGTTATTGTTGTTGTTGCAAATAGCATTAATACAAGCTTAGATGATCAATGAGTTGGCTTGATTGATTATAGGCCATCAAGGTGACATCAGATAAGGCCTAATATTTCAAGAGCTTTCATCCCAACTGAGCCAGCACTGATGAGACAATCCGATCTCTTAAAGCAAAGCTTTATTGAGTACATCATTTTGCCACAGACTGAAAGCAAAACAAACTCTGTTTAATTTCCGCGGTTTTCACAGAATTAAAGAATTGAATCTCCTCCCCCCCCCCCATTTGCACAGGTCACATTGTCCAATCAGGTGTCTAAATACTGTTATGGAAACTGTCTGAGCCTTGATTGAACATCTGATTAGATCACGGATGTCAAATTCAAGGCCCGTGAGCCAAATCTGGCCCACAGAGTGCTTAGAACTGACCTGTGGGGCCGCCCTGGAAAGAGTGAAGGACCAGCACACAGTGCCTCTGCCAGTGAAAACGGGCTCCCGATCTCCGTTTTTGGCTGGTATGGCTTCCTGCAATCCTCTGCCAGCGAAAACAGAGCTCAGGAAGGCCTCAGAAGCTCCATTTTTGCTGGCAGAGGGCTGCAGGAGGCTGTCCAGCTGAAGGAGCCCAGGAAGGCCACGCTTGGTCTCAGAAGCTCTGTTTTCTCTGATAGAGGGCTGCAGAAGGCCATCCCAGCTGAAAACAGAGCTCAGGAGGGCTGCACACTGACAGAGGGCTGTGCGCTGGTCACTTGGCCCCCTGAGTTGAAACACAGCCCCTGAAGTGGCCCTCAATGAAATTGAGTTTGACACCCCTGGGTTAGATGACCTTGGTTCCCATAGGATGGTTTCTTGTGGGTGCCTGGAACTGGCATTCCCAAAGTGGCTTCCCTTTCCCCCGGAGTTTGTGACAAGCTGCAAAGCAGCAATGACTTTTCAACAAAAATCACACTTTGAACTTGACAGATCCGTGATGCTGTGTGCAGGCATTGGGGATAATTAACATACAGACAAAGGGCTGCCAAAGAAATTTTGCACAGAAAGGAGATAGATCTGTAACTTCTATCATCTAGCTTCAGAAAGCAAGTTTGAATTCAGTGAAAGGAACTGTCAGGGTTCCAAGTAGCATCCAAAAGTAAATCAGAGTCCAAGGCAAAGTATTCCTCAAAGTTCCAATTTATTAAGAGAGCCATGTTGGCACATCTGGGAAAACCCGAATCTGAAAGCTTCCCGGTTTTTCCCACCCAGTTGAAAGTTCTAGATCTTGCCCCCACACACGCACAAGTCCATCACATCGTCCAATCTTCCACTGCCATGCTGGCAGTTCCTCCCATTCAGTTCCAGTCGGATGCAGAGGTGCAAAGACAAAGGATGACCTTGGCTTACTAGAAAGCATGTGGTTATGGCTACATAGCATCTCACTCCTTACAATCCCCCCTCCCATTTTCCCACAATAGAAAATGCATAGTAGAATAATAAAAAGTGTAGGCAGGTCAAAGATCCAAAAGAAAAGATGGCTGCAGGCTTGACAGGAACTTACTATCCAGTTGAGCAAGCATTTTTCTGCAGGGATGTTATCTATCCAGAACGAGGTGCTATCTTTGAAGGCTTCCTCTGGTTTTCATGGTTTCATTTCTCTTTGTTTAGGCTGCTTGGCCACTACGCACTCCAAGGCCATTCACAAGCTGGACATCCCATCCTTTGACTGGCCCATCGCTCCCTTCCCAAGGCTGCAGTACCCTTTGGAAGACTTTGTGCGGGAGAACGAGCAGGAGGAAGCACGCTGCTTAGAGGAGGTGAGGACAACTCATCTTCAGAGTGCAGGAGGTGCCTCGGGCAACAGTGTTGGCTAACGGAAAGCGAGTTTGTTTCGCTCAATTAACCCAGCACAGAAAGATCAAGCATAAGATGGAGGAGAAGGACCACAAGAGACATTCACCCTTTGTCTTTCCTGGAAGAGAGAAGACGCTCGCAAAACATCTTCATCCTCACTTAGTTCAGCCCTGAGCAAACCAAGTTAACTTTAATCGGCCTCATTGTCTATGGAAGTTCTGAGTCATCTAGGTCCTGGTTGTCCCGAGGTTGCTTTTTCAGGAGGCAACTGGACTTTCTTGTTTCTNGAAGTGGTAGGCCACATAAACTCGTCCAACATCAGTGTATGACCTCACAAATGCGCTTCTGGGAAGAATGGTCAAAAATCCCCATAAACGCACTCCCGAACCTTGTGGACAGCCTTCCCAGAAGAGTTGAAGCTGTTATAGCTGCAAAGGGTGGAGCGACGTCATATTGAACCCTATGGGTTAGGAATAGGATGTCACTTACAGTAAGCTCATATGCGAGGAAAGGCAGGTGAGCGAATACTTTTGGCAATATAGTGTATGTGCTAGTTGTTCCCGACTTTAGGGGGCGCTGTTCATCTCCATTTCAGATGGGTTGGAAGGCAATTCTTGACTAGGATGATGATGGGAAACTTTTCTTTTCCAGAACAAAGAAAGGGGAGACAACAGAGTTACCAAAGAAGAGTTGGAGACCTGCATGATTAACCAGGTAAGGGACATTCCTTCATTCGGCAGAGCAAAAAGCCCATGTCAAATTACATTCTGGGTCTTTGCTTCAAGGTTCACCTGCCCAGCAAGGCAGCATAAGACCTAGAGCTGGTCCTCAACTTAAAGAATAGTTCACTTAATGACCGTTTGAAGTTACGATGACACAAAAATGAGTTATGACCATTTTTCACACTTATGACTGTTGCAGCATCCCCCTGGTCGCAGGATTTACATTAGGATGCTTGACAAATTAGTAAATATATTTTTTTATTAAGTTATAAAGTATTATAAAAGACAAAATACAGAAGCAAATAAGAGGCCAGTGAAGGGGAAAGGAAAAGGGGAAAGACAACTGACTCACATTTATGACGGTTGCAGTGTCCTGGGGTCATGTGATCCCCTTTTTGCGACCTCCTGCCAAGCCAAGTCAATGGGAAAGCCAGATTCACTTAACGACTGTGTTCCTAATGGAACAACTGCAGTGATTCACTTCACAAATGTGGCAGGAAAATTCGTAAAATGGGGCAAAACTCACTTAGCAAATTTCTCACTTAGCAATTTAAATGTTGGCCTCAATTGTGGTCATAATTTGAGGACTACCTATACCTAAATTAGAATGTGAACACACACACACTTTGCAACCTCAGAGGACTGGCAACTAAAAGGACAATGTGAACTGAGTAGTGGTCAGCACAACACTTGCCACCTTTTGTTGTTTTTATTCTAATTTTCTGACTACAAACATTTCTGTATTCCAACCCTCACTCCTGCTTTCCTGTAGAGTGGATGTCCCTTTTATTTAAAAAATCAGCCCTTTTTTTTTAAACCCAACAAACCTTTCCCAACAAAGTCCCAAGAGAACGTCATTCTCTTGGTTCTCTAATCTCTTTCACAACTCAGTTTCCTCATAGCAACTGATAGTCCGTTTCATCATCCTTTAAATCAGTTTTGCAAACTTATAGTAAATGCCACTGCTCCATTTTTCTGTGTTTATGCAANGCAAGTCTTAAAGCTGTCAAGTTACAATACCCTGGCACCCTTAAACCTTTAGGAAAAAAAACCCCAGGGATGTTCAAACTTTAAGGTTTAGATAGGACTCTTAGAGGCGAGCAGGGAGATTGGTGAGCCAACCAATCAGTGAGTGGTGGGCGGGGCAAGTGTGGTGTGGACGGGTGGGGGAGGGAGCTGGAACCGGTTCTAAACGGCACGGTAGATTTGTGGAACCTCTCCTATAGAAGAGGTTAGAACTGGCAGGAACCCACTCCTGCTAGAGTGGTTCTTCAGTTTCAGATCAGGACAGCAGGTCCAGATTAGTTTCATTTCCAGCACAGAACGTAATACAGACAAAGAGAATCTCCTCTATACAGGGCAGTTAAACTTAGCCTAAGCCACGCCCAGACTCCTCGCTGTCTCCAGCAAATACTGTTTCAGTTTCTAAACAGCCCTCATTGGCTGACCTTGTTACCATTTCTCTGTCTGTTCATGAATATTCTGACATTCACCAACAACGCTAAACTAGGTTTAGTTTTGAATGCATTACAACTGACATCACAAGGAGGCTAAGTCAAACCACTGTAAGAAGCCACCTTCTTGCAGAGGCTAAGTTAGAGAAAGCAGATTATGGACCTTCTTGATATTGGTGTGGTTTGGGTTTAGGGCAAAACGTGGCAGAATAGCCTAGAAAGCTCATCAGAGAATGAAAAACAAAGTTGAAGAAAGACCATGTTGATGGGATGTCCTAATTCTCCAAGTTAGCCTTGGTTGGGTTTGAAGGAGTTGAGTGCTTCTTAGGGTAGGACTTGATTTATCAGATCTCTGTGGAGACCGAAGAAATGCTTCCATTGGATCGGAAACTGAAACTCAAGCTGAAGATAATAATCTCCTCAAAATGCACTATGGTTCATGCTCTTTTAAAAAACAGACCAATGGAGGAAGGAAACTGTCAGATTAGAATTTGGGAGCGATCCCCCAAGAAATTGGCATTTCTCAGTTAGGTGTGGTTTGGTTTCTGTTTTTGGAACAGTTGCTTTGGATAAAACATTACTAATAATCATGTGTCTCCCTTTATTAATATCACTCAGGTTTTTTTCTTAGTTTGATTCATTTATTTCATGTATATCATTCACTTTAACCAGAAGGGTATGCCATCAATGAGATTCTTTTATTTAAGACCAGATTTTACTAACAAATTAAGGGAAAATAAAGGACACAGTGGCTCAGTGGCTAAGACGTTGAGCTTGTCGATCAGAAAGGTTGGCAGTTTGCCGGTTTGAATCCTTAGTGCCGCGTAATTGAGTGAGCTCCCATTACTTGTTCCAACTTCTGCCAACCTAGCAATTTGAAAGCAGGTAAAGATGCGAGTAGACAAATAGGAAACACCTTTGGTGGGAAGGAAACAGCGTTCTGTGCGCCTTCGGCGTTGAGTCATGCCAGCCACATGACCACGGAGATGTCTTCGGATAGCGCTGGCTCTTTGGCTTTGAAACAGATGAGCACCGCCCCTAGAGTTGGGAACAACTACCACGTGTGCGAGGGGAACCTTTACCTTTGCCTTACTAATTGGCCCATGGGTCATCTTTTTCCGACCTTGGATCCCATCCAGATGTGTGGATCTCAACTTCCGTAATTGCCAAGCCAGATAGGGAAAAAAATTGCCTTCATCTGGAGGCAATTTCCCTTTTGGAGAAGGTTATTCAGTGGTGCAAAAATGTCACCAATCCTCCTTGATTGCTCCCTGGAATTTAATAAATTGTTTCAATAAATCAGAAGAAGATAAAATGGAGAATAGGTATTTGTTTTCTTTAAAAGCAAAATCTTGCTATGTTCTAATTTGCAGGTGGAGGATTTGATTGTTAAATACAGGAAAAAGAATAAAGTTGTTGCAGGAATCATTGTGGAACCCATTCAGTCCGAAGGGGGGGACAATCACGCATCGGATGACTTTTTTAGGAAATTGAGAAACATCGCAAGAAAGGTGAGCTTCGACATAAAACAGAACGTTTTCTAAGCCTAAGATTTGTCTCCTGAGCAATAAGTCTATCTAATCTTCGAGTAGCAGCTTCCAAGCTGATCTGGGAAAACCCAGGAGGAATCCTACGAAATTGAACATCTGCATTTAGTTCTAACTAGCTTTTAACCTGGCGTTGCATGGGTATATTGGACTAGATGACCTCACGATCCCTTCCAGCCCTGGATTATCCTGTGTCTAGTGCCACCTTAGTAGTCCTTCCTTACCTTTTTCCCTCCCTTTCTTTTTCTTTCTTTTTTCCTTTCTTTCTCCCTTTCTCTCTCTCCCTTTCTTTTTCTCAGCACCCGCCGCCCCCTAGCAGGCTTCAGGGAAGCTTGCTGGGAGCAAAAACAGACCCCCACACCCTGCGTTTTCAGAGAACCTGTAAAAAAAATGCTTTAAAAAGTTTTTTTTTAAAGTTCCAAAGCTCAGGTGGGTGATGTGCGATTGTTGGGACGTGTGTTTTTTTTGCTTTTTTTTTTACATTTTTTAGTATTTTTTGCTACCGGTTCTGCAAACCAGCAGCAGTTTTTACAAAGGGTTTGGGTGAATCGGCCCGAACCGGTAGCATTTCACCCCTGGTCCACAAGCCTTAAAACTTGCCAAATTTGGACACCTCCTACCTCCTAAGCAAGCAAAGCCAGTTCCCAACTCCTTTCCTAAAAGGGATTGAAATCGAGGTGTGCTTTTCTCAACAGCATGGCTGCGGTTTCTTGCTAGACGAGGTACAAACGGGAGGTGGCTGTACTGGCAAATTCTGGGCCCATGAACACTGGGGGCTCGAAGATCCAGCGGACGTCCTGACTTTCAGCAAGAAGATGATGACCGGAGGATTTTTCCACAAGGAGGAATTCCGGGCAAATGCAGTAAGTTCCATTTTGAAGAGCTTTTAAGCCACCGTTTCTCAACCTTGGGTCACTTTAAGACTTTGTGGACTTCCAACTGCCAAATGCTGGCTGGGGAATTCTGGGAGTTGTAGGCCTACTGGGACAACTTCTCTGCGGCCAACTAATTGTTCCTCCCCCACTCCTTCTTTTCTCTCTTTTGGATTGCCTTTCCCTGCAGCCATATAGGATTTTTAACACGTGGCTTGGAGAGCCTTCCAAGAATCTTCTGCTAGCAGAGGTCATCAGTGTCATAAAAAGGGAAGACCTTCTAAGCAACGTCACCCATGCCGGGAAGGTCCTGTTGATGGGGCTGCTGGAATTACAGGTAAGGAGACCTTAAGTGGTAAGTAGTTCTTGCAGTCTGATGTGAAATCTCAGGATGTGGGTGCCATTTTTAAAATGGCCCTTCTGTTTAATTGAGATTCGTGAAATAAATTTGGTTCATAGTGTGGATTCGATATACGTAGTTAACAAGCAAAAGAAGAAGAAAAAAGTGGGATAGATAGCGTCACCATCAGATGGATTTGTAACTGGTTGACAAAGCATACTCAAGGAGTAGTCCTTAATGGTGCTACATCTACATGGAGGGAAGTAAGCAGTGGGGTATCACGAGGTTTCGTCTTAGGCCCACGACTCTTCAATATCTTCACAAATGACTAGAATAGAAGGGGAACTTACCAAATTTGCAGATGATACTAGGATGTGAGTTAACAGTGTGCAGCGGCAGCCAAAAAAGCCAATGCAATCCTAAATTGCATTAACAGAGGAATAAAATCAAGATCAAGTGAGCTATTAATACCAATCTATGAAGCCTTAGTAAGACTACACCTAAAATACTGCATCCAGTTTTGGTCACCACACTATAAAAAAGATGTTGAGACTCTAGAAAAAGTGCAGAGAAGAGCAACCAGGATGATTAGGGGATTGGTGGCTAAAGCATACGATGAACGGTTGCAGGAACTGGGCATGGCTAGTCTAGTGAAGAGAAAGACCAGAGGAGACAACCTATTCTCCAAAGTACCCGAAGGCCCGACAAGGAATAATCAATGGAAACTGAACAAGAGATTCAACCTGGAAATAAGGAGAAATTAACAATCAATCCATGGAATAGAAGTTGCCTTCGGAAGTTGTGGGAGCTGCGGTGGCGCAGTGGTTAAATGCAGCACTGCAGGCTACTTCAGCTGACTGCAGTTCTGCAGTTCGGCTGTTCAAATCTCACCAGTTCAGGGTTGACTCAGCCTTCCATCCTTCCGAGGTGGGTAAAATGAGGACCTGGATTGTTGTTGGGGGCAATATGCTGACTCTGTAAACCGCTTAGAGAGGGCTGAAAGCCCTATGAAGCGGTATATAAGTCTAACTGCTATTGCTATTCATCACTGGATGCTTTCAAGAAGAGACTGGACTGCCATCTTTCAGAAATGGTGTAGGGTCTCCTGCTTTGGGGGGGGGTTGGACTAGATGATCTATAAGGCCCCTTCCAACTCTGTTAATCTGTTAAATCTGTTAGGTTTTTTAAAACGAATATATGTGTCCCCTGTTTTACAGCCCAAGGCTGGTAAACAACTTCAATTACCTTTTTTGTGATTTGCTGTATTGGGTATCCCAGTCTGTGTAATCTGTGATTCCGTGTATTGCAGGCTAATTTTGGGTGGTGAAAACTCTGCTATTATCTTCCATTATTTTTATTGCAAAACAACAGATTTGGACAGTTTGTTGGATGCAGAGCAAACTGGATGCTTATACTTAAATATTAAAAGAGGTGGGCAAGATCTCTTTGGTACATGGGGTCTCTGATGCACAACAATGGAGTTGCTATTGCTGGGCATCTCTTGCTAGAACAGGGATTGGCAACCTTAAACACTCAAGAGCCACAAATGTCCTAACTGGAAGCCCCACGTTCAATTCTGGAGCCAACCTGAAGTCTGCTTCTCCCACCATAGAGTCTCCTCCTAGCGCGGCATCCTTTTTCCTCTACCTGTCCTAACCGAAAGCCCTATCAACTGTGGAGCTGACCAGAAAACCCATTCCTTGCCATAGAGTCTCCTCCTGGCATGCTGTGCTTCCCCCCCAAAAAACTGGAAGCTTCTCTCAAAATTGTGGTGCCAACCAGCAACAGGGAGCCACAGCAGAGGGATGAAAGAGCCACATGCAGCTCCAGAGCCACGGGTTGCTGACCCTGGGCTAGAACCAGACTCCATAGCCATTTTCTGTTTCACCTATACCTGCTGTTACAGTTGAAGCCCACAATAAGTGGAATCAATTAGTCAGGAATGGCTGAAAGCTGAGAATATTAAGAAGCCATCTATGTGCTACTAAAACTCTATAAAGCAATGCATGGAAACCAGTCAAGGACAGAACTAAACTAGAAATAAGGAGACATTTCCTGGCAGTTAAAAACAATTAACTAGTGGAACAGCTTGCCTTCAATAATCTGATTACTTGAAGAATGTGTACAAAATCCAAGAGCTGTTATTCCCATGGAATTTATGTAAGTGTTAAGGATCCTCAGACCAAGTGTATTTGCAAATGTGTGGCCATTACAGCACTGCCACAATCTGCCAGTCACAATTGTGATTTTTTTTAATGTTCTCTGCTAATAAGAAAACTAGGCGCTTTTTTAAAAAAGCACAGTATCTGGGAATTATAGCAATAGCAATAAAACCTACATACCATTTCAGTGATTTACAACACTCTCTAAGCGGTTTACAGAATCAGCCTATTGCCCCCAACAATATGGGTCCTCATTTTACCAACCTTGGAAGGATGGAAGGCTGATTCAACCTTGAGTCGGTGAGAATCAAACTGTTGGCAGTCAGCAGAATTAGCCTGCAATATTGCATTCTAACCACAGCGCCACCCACAGCTCTTATATTTCCTTTCCCTGTTTTGTTTTGTTTTTCAGCATGCCTTGGCTGGTTTTTCAAGATGATGACAAACTGTGATTTTCTTTTCCACTTTTTGTAGAGTCGCTATCCCCATCTGATCAGCCGAGCCCGGGGACGAGGGACGTTCTGCTCTTTTGACACTCCAAATGACGCAACCAGGAACAAGCTCATTGAAATAGCTAGAAACAAAGGTAAGATGTGGTGCTTTGAACCAGGGCTTGGATTATTGTGTCCTACACCTGGATTTCAAAGGCGGGGAAGTATTTTATTATTCAGAGTATAAGATGCACTTTTTTTCTCCCTCCCCCCAAAAGAGGGTGAAAATTTGGGTGCATCTTTTACACCAAATGTAGCCCCCCCACCAGCCCCTTTGGTCTCTGCCTCCCAGCAATTTGCCTCCTTGCAGCAAGCGGTGAACAGCCTGTTTCAGTTTCAGCACAGCCTGATTAGCACAAGCAGTTGATTGTTGGTTGGATTGGCCTCCCAACCATCAGCTGTTTCAGGCTGCAGGGATTGCCATTGCCTATTGCTGCTACTTGTCTGGTCTGGTATAGGGTCTCCTGCCTGAGCAGGGGGGTTGGACTAGAAGACCTCCAAGGTCCCTTCCAGCTCTATTATGATTCTGATATTAAATATGATAATATCCTTGCCAGGATCCAGGGGATTTTGTGATGGAAAATTCTCAGTGAGAGCTGAATCTGCAACTTCCTTTTTTTCTCTCTTCCCTCAGGTGTGGTATTAGGCGGCAGTGGGGACCGATCGATCCGTTTCCGACCCACTCTGGTCTTCCGAGACCACCACGCACATCTTTTCCTGAACATCTTCAGTGATATTCTGGCAGCTTTCAAGTAGTCAGGATCCCATCTTGCACCAAGAGGCCAAATATCTTCTCAGAATTGGAGAATAGTTTATTTAAGATCATAAATATATATGTATATACATATAATATATATTTTCACTAATAGGAAAGATGGAATTCATAAAGTGCTTTTTAAAAAAAAATATTGGTTTGATCATGCTCACCTCCAACACAAACTGCTTCTGGCTAAAAAAGAAAAAAAAATGTGGACACGCTTTTGATTTCTTCAGCCGTCTCCTTTGGCCTAGCAAAGGCTAAGAGTGATCGGTTTCAAGTTTCAAATCTTGGCCTGGAATTTGAGTCCCTGGGTATGTTTTCTTGCAACTGGTTTGTAAACACTCGAGTCTGAAAAAATGCACTTCTACTGCCACGGATCCATAGCACTGTTGAACAGAGAATGATGGTGGACTTCCAAGGAGAAAGCAGCTGTTGGATACACCCATGTCCATCTCCGGAGTCCCAATGCAAAGTGTGGTCTCTTCTGAAGCACACATGGAAACTCAAAAGGCAAAATCCCTCCACGTCTTCACATGTCTGCTAACACCAGACTGTTATTTGCACCGCCTCTGAGGGTCTACGGGCCTCTTCCAAAAGGTGGTTATGGATCTTGGAAGACTCACAGCGTCTGTTCCAAGCCTTGATCCTCATCTCTTTTAACAGGAGTTCCTTGTGTGGATTTGGGACTTTGTAGGTGCCAACTTCCTTCCCTGCTTCGGTGCTTGTAAACCTATTTCTGCCATTGCTTTTATTTTACATTTTTTTGGGGCCATTTTCACTAGGAGACATGCCGATGGAACTTCCTTTGGCGACCAAACAGTTTTTTTTTAAACAAATCCAGGTATTTGGAAGGACTCTGGCAGAAAGAGGGTAGAATTTTTGCAATGGGGGGGGGTGTCAAATGGAGTCAGCAAAATTAGTAAACCCATCATCTTCTATAGCTGTGGTGCACTGTCCAGGGCTTCGTAATGGCACCCAGCCCTCCCCATCCGTGACTGCAGCCTCCAGAACCCCCCAAAAGCTGTTGTCTTACTGCATTTTTTTTAATACAGCAAGAAGGAAATGTGCGTTTGGGGAATGATTGTATGAATTCTAATGTAATTTTAATTCATTTTGGCTTAGCTTGTGTTCTAACTTTGTCCTTTGTTTGAAGTGGTCTTCCTGACCAGTGATTTCCACCTATGTGGAGCTTTTGGAGGAATAATCCCAAATCAGATTGCAAAAGGAGAGCATTTATAGCCTTGGCTATAAATGATTTAGCCCCAATGTTTGGTATTGCTCCCATTCATCCATGGAGGTCAATGTTATCCTTCTCAGTTTATGAGGAAGACGTTTACGAGAGTGGACTCGGAAGTCTTTCCAACAGGAAAGCTGCCTCTTGAAGGGATTGGAAATGAAGCAGATTGTATGTAAGAGCCCTGGTGGCGCAGTGGTTGAAATGCAGTACTGCAGGCTACTTCTGCTGCCTGCCAGCTGCCTGCAATCTAGCAGTTCAAATCTCATCAGGCTCAAAGTTGACTCCGCCTTCCATCCTTCCGAGGTGGGTAAAATGAGGACCCAGATTTTTGGGGGCAAGGCTGACTCTTAGAGGGGACTGTAAAGCACTATAAAGCGGTATATAAATCTAAGTGCTATTGCTATCTTCTTTTGCTGTTCCAAATGAGGCCCTCATGAAAACAGGAATACACCATTTGAAACTTTCTCCTGTGCTTTTTAACCAGAATCTGAACCTGCAGGCTAGTTTATGAAGAGGTGAGTGTATGGATAGAAAAAAAAGATATTGTTATAGACTTTGTGACCTGGTTACAGGTTGTCCTTGACTTATGAGCACAACTGTGCCCCAATTTCTGATGCTAAGCAAGACAATTTCTGAGTCAGTTTTGCCCCATTTTACGACTTTTCTTGCCACAGTTAACTGCAGTTGATAAATTAGTAACATGGTTGTTAAGTGAGTCTGGCTTCCTCATTGACTTTGCTTGTCAGAAGGTCGCAAAGGGGGAATCACATGACCCCAGGACCACTGCTACCATCATAAATGTCAGCCAGTTGCCAAATGTCTAAATTTTGATCCTGTGACCATGGGGATGCTGCAATGGTCCTAAGGGTGAAAAATGATAACAAGTCACTTTTTTTCAGGGCCTTTGAACAGTCAGTAAATCAGCTGTTGTGAGGACTTCTTGTATGTAACCCCAATCCCCTGCAAATGTCACTGGGGCAGAATATCTCCCCCTACCCTGCTTCTGTCCCTGGACAAACTCAGAAGCAGGATTATGACCTTTGGGACACTAGAAGATGAGGCTGAAAGACCAGAAGCTAAAATACCTCCTTTCCCCCATCCTATCAACTTGGAAGGCCAGGGGGCTGTTGCCAGTTTGTAGTGATAGTAGTTGGAGAGTGCCAAAAAGAGCACATAAAAATGGCAAGGGGCCGCTTGGGCTTCATTCTGGCAAGAGCTGGATCTAATGAGATGGAAACAAGTGAACCTCAGGCTGGACGGAACTGCCATCCGTCAGAAATCGTGTCTTGCTTGGATAGGGGGGTTGGACTAGATGACGTACATGGTCCCTTCCAACTGTTAATCTGAATATAGAACCAGAGGTAAGTTGCTTCCAGTTCGGCCCAGATCAGTCAAGCACGCACGGGAGCATGTCCGAACTAGTAGTAAAAAAATTGGCAACCCACCACTGTATAAAACCATTTTGCAAACCTAGAGCAGAGATGTCCTATTCTAGAGGCCAAAAAGAAAATAAACAAATTTCCAGAATCTCAGAAAGGGCCTAGAATTTAAACAATGTAAGGGATACAGAGAAATAGTTGGCTTTTTTGTCTTCTGCAGTAGGCAAATCTTCTACGTGTATATATATGGCTTCTTTCTTGTCTACAATAAAATAACTAGCTGTGTCAGATCGCTGAGCTTCTGCTGTGATCGAGATTATGAATATCAAGTGAAGTGCCTAGAAGTCTCAGTTGGGTGTAAAAATTTATCTACTTATATTCCCAGCATTACAGGAGAGTCTACAGTTTAATACCAATATTAAACATTGCAGATCACACATACAGATCACACTGGTAATCACCAAGGTTATCCATTTTGCTTCAATAGTGCTTTCAGTGCCCTAGGGTTCCCCAGGTCGCAGTGATGCCACTCTGTCGGAACCAACAGAAGCAACTTATTTGCACTGGTGGAGAAAAATAACAAAGGCCAACTAGCACATAGGGCCAACGGTTACTAAAGTAGTAATCCCTGGGATCCCAAGAAATTATTTTAAGTTGGTATTGGTTTGGCCGCACAAGTTCATAGTACAGTATTCCATTTCTGAGAAAAGGGGCAGAAGAGAAAAAGAGAAAATTTCTGGCTTTAGTGGGTGGTGGTTCCCCTCCAAGGCCAACCATCCCAGTCAAACCCAAAAGAAGAAAACCAAGTTATGCTCATCTACAAAAATGTCTCTGTCTCACTCACTTCTCATATCAACAAATCCCTCTGCCCTCAACAAAGACTTGATCTATTCAAGCTTTTATAGCCTCCATGGCCTCACCCAGAAGTCTATAAAAGGAACAGGGCACCAGCAGTAGAAACAGTATCCAAGTTATCTAATGGGCTCCCAACAGCTCTCCCTTCATCCAGGTCCTGTTTTCCTTTGCACAAGTCCTTGATCTGCTGGCTTTTTGCAGCCTCCAAGGCCAAGAATCCAAACACTGCCTTCCTCCATCCGAGTTCTTCTGCACCACGTTTGGAATTTAATATTTAAAGAACAATTTATGACAAGTCAAGGAAGAAAAGCTTAAGAAAAAACAAACGCACCAAATTAATTCAAACACACTGTTGGGCAATGAAGGATATCAGACATGCCTTCTTGATTCAGTGGTGGCAGTTCTGATGATATTCTATGATTTGGGGAGTATCAAAAGTGGTATTTAGTTTGAAAGGGCAACTGGACTGATTCCTATCCAGGAAGCTTCATCAGTTGTATTGGATGCTGTAGGAGAGATGGAAAGACAGTTATTGACAGTTGAGATTGGTTGGTGGGAGGGGGAAATGATAGGTTCTGACAGGATGGGGAGGGGAATGGAAAGAGTGTGTTTTTTATGCAGTCCACCTAGTCTTAACACGCTCCGGAGAGCTGTTGTGGTTCCTTGGGTTTTTACCTGGGACCTCAGGGTCATCTGAACTAGAGGCATGGAATCTTCTTGGAGCAACCAAAAGGACTGCATTGTAAATTTGGGATAGGTGGTGTGTTATCCCCCACCCCTTGGGAGGAGGCTGCTCAATGTTAACATAAATGGCATATTTTACCCTTTGTGAGAAGCCCCCTCCTAGAGAATGAAATATTTTGGGGAATATTAAAAGAGGATAGAATATTTTTCCCCACAAAGGAGAAATGTTCTTAGAGGCAGACAGCAGCCCCCAGTCTTTCTTAATAGTCTACAGCAGGTGCCCATTAAGAAATCCTGGGCGAAGCCTATTCACAAACAAAACACCTCCAGCTCCAGGTGATGGGATTAAGGACAGGAGATGACCTTTACCCCATCCATTGAGAAAAGTGAAAACAATACCGGTCCATTAAGAAAAGCAGGCTAGACTAGAGGCCATAGATAAGAGGATAAAATCAGTTACATATGCCTGACAGGATTAGGACCAAGGAAATTAAGATCCCCTCAGGAACCTTTGCAAAACAAGTAAAACCAATCAAATAATAAAAGCACGAAAGCAAACCTGAAAATTACAAAATACAGTGCAAACTCTACAAAAATCCTTGCACTCATCAAGCTAATTGGCCAGCTGCCCCAGAACCACAGGCTGTTTGTTGCTGGTTCTCCTTTCCAATCAGCCTCCATTTTATTTCCAGCGTCTTTCTCCCATCTTAGATTAGATTAGATTAGATTGTTTATTTGTATGCCGCCCTTTTCCCTGGGGGGAATCAGGGCGGCTCACAATCCAAAGGAAGGGGGGGGGGGAACAGACTTTTACATATAAGACAGTACATGATTATAACGCAACATTCAT